AACAGGAAAAGCCAAACAAAAGGCCTAAACATACTTTCACCTTTCCGTTGGCAAAAAGGTTGACAATGTTCTTGGCTTTTTTCTGCACTCAAGTTCAAGTTTCCCGGGACAAGAGCAAGAGCAAGAACAGAAATATGCATAGCAACGAACATTAGTTTCAATTTGTGTGTGGCCATTAGAAAAAAGTGTGTGCTGGTGTGTGTATTTCCTAGGTCTCACTGGCTTACCTTGTGAGCACTCACTCACCTGGCCTCCCTGTATTCTCTCAGTGTGTGTGTTTGTGCGTTGCTAGAGCTTGTCGCCTCTGGTAAGTATGCAACACTTTTACTTTTTGCCTTCGCCTCTCCCCCCGGGGGCCGTGTGAAAACATGAAACGAACAAAAGCTGCTTAAAAACACCAAACCATAACAATGTAAAGTGTTGTAGGGGGTACTGTCGAAAAATATTTTACACCTTTTGCGCTGGAGCGCACAATCTATGGGTTGCCTTTGAGGGATGCTCACCTTATCTGGGGCTGCCCGAAAAATATATACATATATATACACCCAAAGCCAAAGCCGAGCAACAAGGTAAACATTTTGCGGTAATTAAGAAAAATTACCTTGCCCAGCAGCTCAGACAAAAAAAAAACAGCCGAACCAAAAAACCAAAAAAGAAAAACAAGAAAAGCACAACAACAGCAGAGCCCATAAAGTAGTCCCCACACCGAAAGACAGACAGACGGACAGACAAAGTTGGCCAGAACGGAAAGACAGTTGCGAGGAGCTTCGCTACGGCTGTGGGAAACCCTCGTTCAGTTTTCCCCAATGCCGGCGCCCTCTCCCCGCCGCCTGTGTCTTTCACCATTTTCTAGTGGCTGCGACTTTTTGGTGTTAACTTTAAATTAGCAGCAAAGTGGAAAGTGTTGTCGGTTGGCTTTTAAAATGTTTTGCGGTGTATTTTATTTATCACGGAGTAGATCTGGTGTGGCAATTGCCAGCCAGCAGCAGCACCAGCACCGCTGTCCACCTTGTCTCGCCTGTCATTTGTCTGTCTTGGCCATGTTATAAAATAATGTGTAAATGTCCCTTGCCTTTTTTCTGTTTTTTGTTTTTTTCTGTTTATTCCGCCACTTTTCTTTTTTGTTTTTTTCGCCGGGGTTCCTTTTTTTGTGTTTAATTTACTTAATGTGCTGCCCGGGTCCTTTTATGATGCCTTCTTGGGGACTATTTTTCCGGCTTTTCTTTTTTTTCCTTTGTTGTCCCTGCTTGGGCTCATTTACCTTGAGAGTTGAGAGTGTCCTCCATCTTATCATTAATGTGTGTGCTCACTTCCTTAATTAGTGACGGAGACTGGCCCAAAAAAAGTATTGGGGAAAGGCAATAAAATACAAAAGTTGCCCAGGAATATACATAACTTCTAAAAAATATGAATATATAAAACAAAAGGTGCAGAGATATGCTAATTTATGCAATTGATAAATATTTAATGGTATTTCAAGGGCCTCGTCTCATGGGTAAAATTGCTGGAATATGAAAATTTGTACTTAGATTATAAAGTTTTTAATGGCCAATTAAACGTTTTGAGGGCTTTGACCATTAATGAAAACTTTGGAAAAACAGTTTTAATAAACAGTTTATAAGGTTTTTGATTTTTGTTCTTTTAGAAGTTGATTATTAAATCGTTTTATTTGTGTAGAATTTGTATATCAAAACAATATTAATATTGTAATTAATGTAATCTCTTTAATTTTCTAATTTTATTCTCACTTATTATTATTCAACCCATAATCTTCAAATCTTCTTACCTTTCGAGAGGCAATTATAGCTAAAGGCGCTCTAATTCCTTCCTCCGAAAAGCCGCTCAAGGTCTTCTTCTAAAATTCGCCACTAAATCGCTATTACCCTGAATTGCTGGCAAATTGAATTAATTAGGATTTTACACATTCCGCTTGAGAGTTCAACATTTTTGACTTCCAAATTTGGTTTTCGGTTTCGCTCTTTCGCAACATTGTCATCCAAGGAAATTTAATTAAGGAAAGCGCAACTAAGCGAACCATTTACTGCTGCCGGGTCAAAAACGTATACGTAATTTCATTAACAATTATGACCCGGGCGTTGCGCATCTTCCATCATAACCCTTGGTGGGTATGGTGGTAAGATTGGATTGATGTGTGCCACTTGACATGCTCAGAAGTTGAGGCAGAAGCCAGGCGTGGCATCGTAAAAAAAGATTCAGGGCGCTTCCTCTTTCAGGGTGGTGACTGTCTGTGGCAGCTCCTTCGCTGTTGTGCTAATAAAATCAAAACTGATTACCACATCATCTTCAACGAGCAGAGCAGAGAGCAGGGCCTGAGAACACAGCGTAACGCTTGGAATCGAAGCATGCATATCATATTACTCATACGCCACGTTATACAATTTACTTACATCGTCAACGAGCAGAACATTGACAGCGAACCAAGACGAGGCGAGATGAGACGCGAGACGAGACGGTAGTTGTGGCCCAGATGAAGACAAATAGATGGCACAGAGGCAAAGGCACTGAGAGAAAAAATGAGGATATTAGAATATATTTGAAGCCAAAGATAGTTGATAGAAATTACGTTTAAAAGCTACAGTTTCTTAAAGTTTAGTTTACCATAACTAAAGATTTGATGTAGGTTTTAACTTGTATTTTTTCCAAGTGTACTTGGGCATATGTGTGTCTGTGTGTGTGTGCAGGATGTGCGTGCCTGGATGAGTGCGCAAAAATGGCAACGGCAAAGAGCAAAAGCCAAGAGCCAAAAGCAAAAACAATTAATTGAGTGGGTGGCAAGCGACACCAGAGCCACCAGAGATGCTACAAGGGAGCAATGCTATGCTACAGCAGCGGCAGCCAAGTGCAGCGAAAGATAAATCGTTTTGCAATAGCGCTATAATTTAATCAAATTTGTCACTTTTGCAATTGAGCAACTCCCGCGCGCGGAGATCCAGCAAGCGAACGAAGACAACTCCACTTGCTCCTCTGCCCTCCTGTTGGAATTTATGAATGGAATTTTGCAGGCGCAGCCATAGACAAAAGGAACCCCCAACATCTACCCAGTACACCTGCCCCCGCGCTCAGGTAACTCAATCTTTGCGTCACGGGTGGCAAGTGCGTGCCCGGGCATCGCGTTCGCACTTTGTAAATTCAATTTGAAATGCGCTTGATGCGCACAAAGGCAGGTACAAGCCCACCTTGTGCACCTTATGCTCACGGATGGTAGTACTAACCCTCCCCCCTCTGTTGATGCCCTACAAGTGCCGTTGAACGGTGATGGCCAAACAAATGCCAGTGCCAAGCTAAGCGGTTTGTCAGCGCAAATGGGGGTCGCGTTAAAAAGGGGGTAGGGAGTGTAAACGTCATTGATGACGACCCCTAGCCCTTCTCCGACTCCCACCGATTAGGTGAATCGATTAACCGTTCTTGTAATTGAATACAAGCGCACATCAGCACCGCACGCACTTTTTTCAGTGCAGTTTACGCAATTTGTTGTTGCCATTACCCCGTGGAATGGTCGCTAAAGCTGCCAACAAATTCTCAGTTACGCGCTCACGTTCACCGGGGCCACTCACACAAATGCGAAAGCAAACACGGCCACCAAACGCACACACATACCAAACACACACACACATACAGACACAATCAGCTCGAGCACCTTTCACAGAATGCACGAACCAATTTCAACAAATCTAGAAACCCCCTTCGGTACACTGCGAAAATCCTTAAGGATGCTCTGAAGTGTCTGAAAGGGAGACTGGGAATAATTAATTTTAGGGTGGAATATAAATTAAATATTTATGGAAATATTTTAATATAAATATATAAAAGCCAATAAATAAGCCATCAAATAAATAATTATAAAATAAGTAAAGAAAACCTTTGAATTTATGGTAAACTATCAAAATTTATTCCAAGCACTTCCTAGTTTAAGTTTTTTTTAGTGATATTTCCCCTTGTTATATATTAAATACTTTACAAAAATATTTTAAAATTACCCTTGACAACTCACCTTAAAATTTGTTCCAAGGCACTTATAGTTTTTTAAGGATATCTTTCCTTAATATAGATTATACAATAAATATTCTTTAGAAATATTTTGAAATGACACTTGACAAAACATTGTAAAAAAGGCTTTCCAAACTCCATCTACTTCCCTAAATCAAGGTTAAGCTTATAAAAAAGTTACTTAAATTACCAAAAAAAGTTGAATTTATATTCACTTATATTAAATCAAAGAATCTAATAAACTTAAAATATTTTCCCACAAAGTTATTCAAAGTTACTCTCCATCTCGAGTTTGCAAAACATTTTTCTTGGTGTAACCTGCCACTGCAATGTTAAACATTTTATCAACGCTGAAAAAAAGGAAACGGGAGAGAGAAGAGCAAAAAACTCGTTCGAATTTTTAAACAAAAATCCAAAAACGTTGGCCATAAACGGAACAGGTAACCAAACCAGGCATCCAACCCACGGCATGCGGGAAAACGGCAAGCTGAGGGGCAAAGTGAAAACGGGGAAATGTGAATGAAAGAAGGAGGAGGTGCGTGGGATGACGCTTTTCGAGGGGGTTTTGTGAATGTTATTTTTCAAACATCAAATGTTCTGGCAACGTTGACGTCAACACGGGGTCCAAGGCAAAAGTGACGCTACTTTCAGCTGTTTGTGCTTCCTTCCTTCCTCCCGTCCAAACGGTTCCCAATTGGCTGCATTTCCCAGGTCAGCCATCTGCCCCTCCCCCGCCGACAGTCCCACCTTCTACTCTTTTCCCTGGTTTTTCCCAGAGCCCAATCCCCATAGTTGCCACTGGCGTTTCACCTCTGAGCGCTCGGCCATTTATTGCAATATCAAAAATGCTTGCCTTCTGCCGTTGAAAATGATTGAAAAATATTCGTATTCGCTCTTTAAAGTTTGCCCAGGGATTTTTGTTTGATTTTTTTGTATAACTGTGTGTGCTTAGTTTTTTAGTAAACATTTCTGTTTGCGTTTATATATTGCAGGTGATCCTACAAGGAATAATGCTCAGGCTTTTGCTGGTCCATATAATAACGATATGTGTGCTACTAACTAATGTTAAGTCTGGTGTGCCTATTGGTAAGTGAGACTTATTTATAAATATATTTTAATTTGTTTTTTTTATTAATAAATAATTCATTTTAAAGAGATTTTTTATTCAATCATTTTCGGCTTTACTTTTACATTATAACTTTTAATTTATTTATCTAAATCAAGGAACCGGCGGACCATCAATTATATTGGAGAGCAAAGATGCTTTATTAACCTGCGTAGTGTCTGATAATTCCTCAAACAACACAGTAATATGGAAGAAGGGTGACGAGATCCTCACCGCCGGCACAGTGCGGGTTACCAAGGATCATCGTGTGCGAATTCTTCATGATGAAAGTGGGTTGTATTAATGAATTAGAATTTTAAACCACATTTTAAATAAATTATTTTGAATATTTATACAGATCCCAAGGGTAAAAATCTGGAGACGGGTGGTGAGGTTTGGGTTCTTTTGATTAAAACCCTCAAGCCCAGTGATTCGGGGGCGTATATATGCGAGCTTAACTCAGATCCTGTTCTGCGCAGTATACACATACTAACTGGTGAGTAAAAATGAAAAAAATTTAAGAAGAAATTTATAATAAAAGGTTTAATTAAATATAAACCAACAAAAGTAATCTTAAATACCTAAAATATATTTTTAAATGAATTAAAATGAAAAAAATAGTAATTTAAGTTCAATATTTTAATAGTATTCTTTTGTATATATTTATTATAGTCTTTATACTTTCACAATTGCTAAAATTTAAAGCCAGACTTAAAACTTTCTTCCAACTTTTCCCTCAATTTTTTCTCTCTCTGTTCGAATGACAATTAATTTCCTGCCTTAACCCTCTCACCTCACACAGTCAAGGAGCTGCACTCATCAACGGGTGGTCCCAACAACTCCACGGACACCTCGACCGCGGAGTCGAGTGATGTGTTCCTGCTGCCACCGCCGCTGGACGCGCAGGACAATCGCAGCTTCTGGCGGCCGAGTCAGGTGCCGCCCCTGATCACCCATGACTTCACGGAATGCTGCGAGCGGGCCAATGTGTCCGCCCAGTGCATGGGCTTTTGCAACGTGCACAACATCCTGGACGGCACCACTGGCGTTGATCCGGAGGCCTGCGAAAGGGACTTTCCCGGCATTGTACGCTGCATGGCCGATGGCCGCAACCATGTGCCCTGCTGCGTGGAAAAGCAGATTCCGGATTTGTGCCAGGACATGTGCCGCGGCGAGTATACCCCGTTCACGGACAAGCTGAAGACGCGCGTCTCCTGTGTCCAGCACACGCTCAGCGGTCTGCAGTGCATCCTGAAGGGTGTGCAGCTCATACCCAGCTCACCCACCTTTCTCACCATCGAGAATGTAAGCGAGACGAGCGTGAGCGTGGGCTGGACGGCGCCGGAGAAGCTGCCGGAAAGGGTCTCTGGCTACACCATCAACGTGACTAAGCTGCATAGTTTCGACGAGGATGAGCTGAGTGGCGAAATCATTCACCGAACAGCCGCCGATACAGCGGAGTCTGTTGAGCTTCACAATGTTTCCGCGAATCAGACCCAGTTGGTCCTGAGTAACCTAACACCGCTGGCCATGTATGCCGTGATAGTTACGGCCACCAATGAGTTTGGCACGAGTTTGCCCAGCGAAAGGCTGAGATTCTTTACGCATACCAGTGCCTCGGCGGCGGAGTCGCGAGCGGGAACTACGGACAAGCAGGCGATGCCTCAACTTCCGGATACGCGGCAGTGCTGCGAGGATAATGGCATGACCCACAGGATGTGTCTGGATAAGATGTGTGATCCACAGAAGACCGATCAGGCCACGTTGCCCGACTTTATGGTGTGTGCTCCATGGTCGAATATTACCTTCAATTGTTTGGCCAACAATATCGATCATACGCCCTGTTGCCGGGCTAGGGGAATACCCTCGGCCTGCTTCCCACTGTGTGCTGGCAAGTTGCAGTCGTTGGACTTTAGTTTGTTCAAGTAAGTTAAAGGGAAGGGGATAAAATCTAGGAGCAATACGGGAATTAAATTCAAGGCTATACTTAACATTTTTTATACAAAAGTAATCATGAGTTCGCTTAGAATATAATTCTATAAAATCCTGAATCCCCATTACCTTTTTGCTTTACCCAACAATCCTTATAATAAAGCTTCCCTCAGTCCAGGACTTAAATTAGAATCAATAATTATCGATGCTTAGGAGCAGCTCCTAGTTACCCTGTTAATCACTTCCCCAGGCGCATCCTTATCGCTCGTCCTTGTCCAGGAAATCCATAGGCCGTTAAGCCCTAATATCAAACCCGTGGCCATATCAACCGCACTCTGTGCACCCCCCCCCAAAAAAAGCACACACAATACTACTTGCTAATGACTCCGCAGGATGGGTTTTTATGCCGAATGCCAATTACCAAAGCCTCCCTTTTTCTCTTTTTTGTCTTCCTTTTTGTAGATGCCTGCGCTTCATGCCCGAGTACAACAGCTGTCTGTTCCAGGGATATGGGGTACTGGCCGATCCGCCGTCTAAGCTACGGACGGTGGCCAAGACGGACAGCTTCGTGATTCTGGACTGGAACAAGCCGAAGCGTCTGGCGGACACCGTCAGCACATATCACGTCAAATTTCGACGTTTGGGCGTTGGCGATGACTATCTGAGCGTGGAGAAGGTATTACACGGGGAGAAAATGGGATGATCAAGGAAGTAAAGGGAGCTTAAATATCAAGGATGAAGTTAACTGGAGAAATTATATATTTATTAGTATTTTTAAAATAAAGTTTTATTATTAATATGAATATTTAAAGGTTTTTACGAAAGATATAGTTTAAAATTTACGACGTTTTCGACATAGAAAAATTATAAAATAATTGTAAATTTAAAGGTTTATTTAGTACCAAGAATTATCTATGAATTATGAAATATTTTAAAGTAAATTAAACGCATTTAAAATTATTTGTACACATCTTTAGAAAGCTTTTATCATAAATTTAATACTTAAATTCTGTAAATAATTCCTGAGAACTCCCACTGTTAACCAACTAAATCCTAGATGCTTAGGCTCCTCATAGTTTTCCCCTCAGTGGAGTAAGCTCCTCCGCCAAGTGACCACTACTCTCCCCCTTCCCAATTGTTTGGCTAATTCATTAAGCTTTGCAGCGCCAGCCACCGCTGATTCTCGAGGGTCTCGAGGCGGACATCTACTACGAGTTCTACGTGGTCTCGTTGAATGCGTATGGAAAGAGCGAGGCTTCCCCGCGTCTGATCACCCGCACCCTGCCAGCGGAACCGGTCCAGCCAATGGCCTCCAGATATAACATGACGACCTGCTGTCAGGCCTCCGGACTGCTGCCCCAATGCGCGCCGCTCTGCTCCTACAACATCCGCCTGTCCGATATCGAGCGGTTGGGTCCAGCCTGTCGAGCCCAAATGCGTGAGTAACAGCTGGAGATGGGGATTCTGGGGACTGGAGACTGGGGTAGATTTTAGGAGCTTCCCCCTTGATACACAGTCGTCCATGGAAAACACTAATTAGCGGCAGGATAGAGACAGCCATTGTCCTGCGGACTTTTGTTAATTTAATGAGCCCATTTTGCATTTTTCGTTCCGTCTGGCAAATGCAATTTCGAATATTAAGTGAGTGAGGCCTTCGCCTGCTCATTCAAGCATAATGAATTTTCGTACTTATGCAAATCAATTTTTAGTTAATTAGTAGCAAACAATCCCCTGAAAACAGTAGCCTAGCCGGGGATGTTTGATGTTGGCTAAATGCATGAGAATTTACCAAAATGTTTTCATCACCCCAAAAACCCTGTCCGTCCGTTGCCAGGAAAGCTCTCTGTGTCAGTCAGTGTTTGTTCCCGGCTTATGTAATTTGGGAGGCAGGAGCCACTGTGTAACGTTGTTTGGCAAAGCGTTAGTCAGAATAAACAAAGGGCTTCTCAAATGATACCAGAGTGTACTCCCAGTTTCGGAATATAGACATATTTAATGCCAAATGGTTATTATGCAGCAATATGGGGTAATTATCATATCAAATTGATAAGTTACTATACAGGGAAGAAGCTTTTAATGTTGATTACTGTTAGCTTTAACCTTTAACTATTTATATTCAAGATTTGTTACCAAAAAATATGTTTATATCGAATTTTTCCTAAATTAACTTCTATAAATTCTTCAAGAAATAAAACCCACATCATAATCTTTGCAATCAAAACAAATTCTCATGCGAAAATTCCAAGAAACCTGACAAACATAAATCTTTAAATAGAAAAAAAATATTCATTTATTTCAAGCTTAAGTTCTGATTTCATAGAAATTTTACATTAACTTGATTTTATGTTCCATCGAAAACACTTAGCACCGAAAAAATGCTCAAGTCATTCTTCTAAAAAAACATGGAATTGAATGCCAACGATGACTTTACAGGAAATCTGGCCCCAATTTACCCGTCACCTAGTCAATGATAGGAAATCTTTTGGTTAATTTCCTGTAAATTGCTGCCATATTGTCGACTCACGACGAATCCTTTAAATTATCATCTCAACTCGAGTGGCAACGGGCCAAAATTGATGAGTTCATGTCACAAATTGCTCCATAACAGAGCACAATGAGCCGTATCTGGGGTGCACACAGGAGGGGCATTTGGGGAGTTCGAGTTTATGCAAATTTTCACCACAATATTAACCATTCCCATCTGTCCATCTCCGCTCTAATCCGCAGCCATCCTGGCCAGATGTGCTGCCGGGGGACGTGATCACAGTCCATGCTGCAGTCGCCGCGGCGTCATTAACGCCTGCATGCCCCTCTGTCGTGGCGTCATGCCGCTCGCCCTGACCACCAAATCGGCGACGGGAGCAGCAACGGGAGCAACATCATCATCGGCAACAGCTGCGGCAACGCCATCCTCATCATTGTCCTCGTCGTCGTCGTCATCGTCGAGCAATGTGCCCGATTGTTTATCATATGCCGGCAACATTCTGCAGTGTTTCGAAGAAGGTGAGTAGTTACCATGGCAGCCGCTGGTTTCTGTCCATCCCATCCTGTCCTGGCCTTTGTCTCACTCCATCAGCGCAGTGCTGTGGTTGTGCCCGGCCAAAGCAGTGACTGCCAGTGAATGAAAATCAGCTCATTACAATTTTTGACGAAGATAAATCCATTCAATTCGCTCTTAATTAGGCGAGTAGCATTAGTTTCAGGGGAAATACAACGAGAATAGGAAGGATGTTTTCGAAATTACCATTGTCCATATATCCTTTAGGAATTTTAGTTTTAATAAATGCTTAAAATTTCAATAAAGGCACTTTGTTTTCTATAAAAATTTTAAATATATTAATCTATCATAGATTTATGTAACAAAATTTATCAAAATACGCCCTTAAATGCTTCTAAAAATTTCATTAATTTTTATCTAAAATAATGCATAAAATTCTCCATAATTTACTAAGTCAAATTCCAATTTAAATACTGACAAAAACTCTCTATAAAACTTTTTTAATATTCTTTTAAATACTTTTTAAAATGCTTAATAGAATATTCAATTCAGAAATTTAGCGCTATCTTATTTCCAAGTCAATTTCTGCATTCAGTAATTAATTAAAAACATTATTTTAATCAGGTTTTAATTAAGTTTTCATTTCAATAATTATTATTTAAACTTTTCATCTAAATAGGCTTTGCTTTTCTCAAATTTCAATTCAATTAATTAAAGTGTAAAAAGCTTCTGCTTTTGAGATGATCCTTCATCGTAAATCATTCACCATAAATCAGTTTTGCAGCCGTCACTAGAGGTCACAGTCACTGGAGGCCGACACCGAGGCCAGATAGTTGCATCACTGGTCACACCCTGTGGTGCATCCATCTGTGTGTGTCTTTGCCAATGGGCTGACGTTGCTGTTGCCGTTTCAGTTGCCGTTGGCTTTGGTTTTGGCCGGGCTTGTGTTTGCAGCTAATTCTGTTTGTTTAATTGCGTGTCTGTGCACGTCGAGTATACGCACTGTTGCACGCCATTGTGCGCTAAATTATTTGGTCAATGCTTTGGGCCAACCAACCACACAGCCCGAGCAGACAAAACCAATATTGGCCAATTAAAGTTGCATTATAAAACAAAACAAAGCAGTGCGGTGTATGGCGAACTATATTCCGTTTATTCCGTTTACTCCTCCATTGAACAGGCACCCAGAATATCCCAGGGCCACCGGAAGATGTGCATGCGACATTTGTGAACCAGAGCAGCATCAGCTTGGTCTGGACTCAACCGGATGCGGATGGTGGCAGTGGTGGTGCTGGCAACAACGGCAGCAGTTCAGTTGCATCGCCAGGTGACATGATAACCGGCGATGAACTGGCAGCCGGTGCCGTGGATCCTACAAATGGGAATCCGGCCGTCGCTGGAAGGGATGTGCCTTCGGTGGATGCCACAAGTGGAGCGACAACTGGAACGGAGGATATTGAATTCATCGTACAATATGGCAAAGTCAATAACATGACCATGTACGAGACAGTTGCCAAATTGGAAAATGTGAGTATATATCGGGGTATGGACAATGCCAGCGACTCTATCTGCGCAGAACTTTTGCACAGCGAAACTAAACTTGCTCCCTCCTCATTTTCCCCCATTTTCTCCTTCACCTGTAAGTTGGCAGGCAAAAGTTTTTTTTTTTTTTTTTTTTTTTCTGCTGGACGGGCTCAGGGCTCAAACTCGAACTCAGATTCAGATTCAGAGTCAGATTCACACACACAATGGGGCACTTCATTTGCATTGGGGACTGCGGGCGGTCGCCTTATTACGATTTGCCTTTTGGGCCAAAATGCTGACATTATATATATTCGAGTGCCAATGGAATTGAAAAGAGCTTACAAATTGCCTTGTCTGAGTCCGCCAGAGACCAGGGGGGCGGCGGATTCAGGGGAGCCAGGAGCCAGGAGCCAGGAGCCAAACAGCCCAACAGCAGTCAGGACAATAACCATTTCAACAACTTTCCGACGGGGGAGAACTTAAATTGGTAGCACAGTTAATGAAGAAGTTCGGGGACAGGAAATTGCTTTCATAACAACCAGTCATATTAGCAGATATTGTGGTCGTTACCGCCTGGCGTATGAGTAACCTCAGAGGCGGGGCTAATTGTTCAACTTCTTTATCTGGGTTGAGCATCAGTCATAGAGGAAATTGTAGTAATTGCTGAGGAAATATATAGAAAGGAGAGAACATTTGTTATTGCAGAGTATAAAATATAATTTAAGTATTTTTACATTCCTAAAATAATGATAAGCAATTATAAACTTAACTGAAAGTTTATAAATAATTTCTGATATATAAATTCAAGAGTTTCAGGACTTTCTAAAAACTAAAATTCATATATAAAATAATTTTTAGTTCACAATCTAAAGAGTTGGCCATAAAAGCCCTGTTGATTCCATAAAAGTTTACCCATAAAAATTACTTTTCAACTTCCTTTTTTTCTTCCATTTTTCAACTATATCCTGATATTTATTTTTTTATTTCCATCAATTCTTATATACACATCGGTGTAAAGTCTATTATGATTATAAACTTTTTATTTATTTAAATTAATTTCTGCCAAACAATTCATAGAAGCTTTTTGCAACAAAAAAAAAAAAAAACTCCAAACACACATGGCGTATGAGTAATGTTTGCAGTTAAGCCAATTATTCAATTATTTATTTAAATCCTTTGCCAACGGCTAAATCTCACTAAATGCATATATCGATGGCCCATTGTTTATATAGCGAATGAAATCAATTGAAATTCCCGCTGACGCCATCACAACGAATTTCAAGTGCAAAACCGGCATATATACAGCTTAAATATATATATATTTTAGATATACTCTCGAACGCCTGGCGAATATTTTTTGGTTTACCCAACTCTAATCCAATTCAGTGTTATAATCTTTGAACTCTGTCCAAAACATCGACCAGGTTTAGATATATATATAGCGGGTATATAGCGAGCTAAAGTTTTTGACGCCTTTTCAGCGGGCTCAGTTGAGGGGGAATGTGTACGAGAGGGGGGACTTATAGACGCCATATGCATTGGCAACGGCCAAAACGTGACTATAAACTGGTAAAAATTGCAGGCGGTCCAAAAAAAAAAGGAGAGAGAAAAAAATGGCAAAAAAAAAGACGAATAAAGAGTAACCAAAACCAAACAACGGGCCAAAGTTGGCTCAGGCTTTGCCATTGGCATTGTTGTAATTGCATTTGTTGTTGTTGTTGTAATTGTTGTTGTTATTGTTTGCATTTTGTTGTTGCATTTGTTGTTGTTGTTGCTATTGTTGTAGTTATTGGCTGTTGTTGTCACACATCAACGCGCTTTGCTGGCAGCTGGGCCTGTTTGCATTTGTTGCTGCTCTCACCAATGCTGCTGCTGCTGCTGCTGCTGCTATTGCTGGTGTTGCAGCATCAGCCATGGCCATCAGCAGAGTTATTGGCCTCGAAAAACTTGCAAATGCTAAAAAATACAGCAATAGCAACAACCAGCCAAAGCCTGGCCCAAAGTTTTGTCGCGTGTTGATGCGCACAGAAATGTATTTAAAGTGGGGTTGGTGTTGCTGCGTTGCTGCTTTGTGTTGCGATGCTGCTGCTGGTATTGCAGTTGCTTCTGCTACTATTGCTGTTGCTCTAGCTGGCGGACATTGCAACCTGTCGTCGACGACCTGCCAATGATGCTACGCCAGCAGCAGAGTCTATAGGAGCTGAGCACGTGAGGTGTGGGTTTAGGCTTTGGTATTAGATATTTAAGGGTTTTACTAAGAAGTTATAGATTAAAATAAATATTAGTTATAAAATTAAGTATTTCCTAAAGAAGTTTGAATATATAAGAGCTCAAATTTAAACAGCAAAGTCATCTTTATTTACAAGTAAAAATGTATAAATTTAAACCCAATATCTTTTTTTTTTGCCCTCTTGTTTTGCTCTTAAAGATTCGTTGGCCATCCATTTGATTAAAAATATATGATTGATCATAAGCAGGGGGTATTTGGGAAGCACCGTTTCTATTGACAGCTCAAAGAAAAAAAAGAAGAATATACAAAAAAACCCCCCAGGCAATCGTGACAGTAACTTTCGTCACGTGAGCAACTCTGCGGCCGAGAGGCAATCGATATGGAAGATACTGTGTGGTGTCAGCTTTGCTTCCAGTTCTTTTTTTTGTTTTTTTTTTTCTTATATTCTGAGCTGTTTTTTGTTGATTGTGTTGTGGAAAATTCATTCGCCCTGTTGGCTTGAATTATTCTTTTTTGTTTTACCATTTTTGTAGCTGTTGTTGTAGTAGCAGGCTTGCTTTGGTCAGCAGCGTACGCAGCTGTTGCGGTTCATGTTGTTGGTGTTGCTGGTACTGCTGCTGCTGCAGTTGCTGCTGGCTGATGCTGTTGGCTTAACTTGGGGCTGGCTTCGGCTTGGCTTAAATGCTTTTCAGTTGGCGGTTTTTTGTGGTGCCCACGGTGTCAAATGGTTTAAACGCGCCTCGCGACCCCCTTTGAATGGGTTATTGTATCGCAGATATGTACGTATATATGTATATATATATATCTATAAGTTCGCTGCTATCGCTGCCTGCAATGCGTTGACTCAGTGTGACACTTTTATGGACAAACTTAATTGCTTTTGGACGTGTCAGAAATACAGACGGGGTGGAAATATCGCTGGCCCAAGACTAATGGCCCCATTGCTGGTCACGGTGGCTGCGGGAGAAGTTTGTACTTAAACTAGAAAAACGGTTTATATTAAAGGTAATTTTGCCAGCAGGCAAGGGAACCCTTCCTGATTGAATCAGTGCCAATAATTTGGCAATTTCTATTCGTCGCCATTGCACGGCCGGCGTTGTGTCACCAGCAGCAGCAGGAGGAGCATCGACAACAACGGGTCCCGCAAAAACATTATTCGACTCTACAGGATATTACATGCCATCAGGATGAGCAGCGGGTGGGGGAAAAGCGGATGGGGTGGCAAAAGCGGAAATAAAAGGTTTCCCCGCCACTGTCGCCCTGATTTCCAAATGATGTCTCTTTCTCTGTGTGTATATGTTGACTCTGGCCGAAAACAAACGTAACTTTTGTGATGATTTTTAGTGCCGCCGCGTTAGTTCGAGTTGACTTTTATTCTTTATCCCTATTTGTGTTTGTGTTTGGCAAACACACGGCCATAAAAAACTTTTTAATATAGCCGGGAAACACTGAAAAGTACAGAAGAAAAAAATGGCACAGGACCACTGACCACCACGATGCCAGAAATTAGACACATTAAATATTCTGATATAGCTGTGATGGAGCCAAAGGGGTTTCGGTTTGGGTTTTGGGCCTGGGCCACGGCGATTATGTGCTTTGTCACTGCAGTGGAGTCCGGGCCAAGACAACTGGCAAATGAGCAACCAGGGACCTAGTTTTATGGCCGGAGTGTGACTCTCGTTAAGGGGTAGCAGCTCGAGATACAGGAGAGGCACACCGAAAACTAAAAGGTTGAAAGGTTAAAAATGACTTATTAAGTTGGAGAAGTATCTATAAGATTTTTCAGATATTTATTGTTTTCAAGGGAATTAATATTTATAAAATAATATTGAATTTTGTATGTACATTTTAAAGGTGATCTTTAGTCCTTGAGACCATCCATGGTGCTACAGAAATCACAAGGGTTTATAAAACAAATTGACAAGTTTCCTAAATAAAGCTAAAAATGTTTCAATAATTAACAACAAAAATTTGCACTAAATTAGGACCTTAAAAAAATATAAAAGCTTCTTATAATTAATTCCCTAATAAACTTTGAATCATATAAGGTTTCCCTTATTTTTTATTTGATTATAACAATTATTATTATAACATTTTTGTTTCCAGTGCATTAGCTAAGTAGCCAAGGACATGGCGCTATGCATTTTGATCAGCTATTCGCTCAAGTAGTTGCTGGGGACTCACCTCTATTTCACTGGGGGTGGTGGTGGTGGTGCCACCCCATTAATTATTCAGTTAGGACCCGCTCGTCATGCCAATTGTGGCACATTTAAGTTGCGGTTAATGTAATTACGAAAAGGGGACCGAAAAAGCAAAGCCAATGTGACACACGAAATGCTCAACTAAGAGTCCTTTCGCTGCTATTAGTATTGCCTGCCCTTTTTTTTTATTTTGCTTTTTTTTTGGGACCGAGTCCCTCCCTGTCGAGAGCATAATAAATCGTTTTTCCCTCTTTGCCTTGACAATCTATTCGGGCTTTGAATTTAATGCGTTTTAGATAAGTTTCTAATGGAAGGAAATTAGTATTGAGCCGGGCAATTTATTCTCTCTCGGGACGCTGGTCACTAAATTATAGTTAGTTTTATCGGACTGCCAGTACCTGTGTCAAATGGAAGCCTCTATCTGCAAATTAACCCCTGCTCAGTCTCTGGTTAGGATGGCTTCTGGGTTAAAATGGGTCCAGTGCTCGTCATCATCATATTTGACACAAGTTGTCACGACCACACGACCGGGGCAATGGGTAAGTTGCCCCCCCCCCGAAAATTGAGATTTACGACTTACGACCCGGGCCAGAAAATCATAGAAAAAAATAGAGAGAAATACCTCTAACCATAAGCGAGATGGGGGCTCCATACATATTTAGAGATGTTGGCCAAACTGGCTCCACCAACAGATGTCCAACATCGCTCTGACATTGACTTACATACTCAAAAGTGACTCGTTACGTCGGAAAATCGGGGTAGTAAGGGGGCCAAGGGGAGGCGTGGCACTCACATCAAATAATTTCAGCACTAAGTAGCTGAAATAACAAACGCTGATGATGCCAAGAGCTGATGCTGCTAATGCCACTGAGAAAAAAAAACAAAACAAGTTAATGCCAGAACTAAAGCTGGCTTTAAAAAACAAACAAAGCGCTCGGCCATAAAGCGAAATAAATTACTTAACGCGCCGCATTTTTTCGCACTGGCCACGCAGCCAAAAATGCAATTAAAGGCCAAAAACCGCACCGAGACTGCGACATCTGCAGGAGATTAAAAAACGACACAGAGAGAGCCAAAATAACACAGCAGCAACATCGGCCCGGCAGCAACATCAGCGCAGCAGCAACATCAGGCAGCAGAGTGCGATTCAGTGTGTAAATGATTGAGTTGGGTTTTGAGATTGTAGGGTGTGCTGCGGTAAAAGCATTAGGACATTTTTTAAAATTTACATAATTACAAAGAACTACAAAATATTTGCCTAAAGAAACGATATTTTGAAAGGGCATTATTTAGGAATTTTCTTTAAGCCTTTAACACTTAATTTTAAATTTTAAAAAATGTTTTCTATGTTTCTTTAAAAACCAAAACACCCCAAAAATTAAAATCCGCATAGCGCATTTATCTGCCCCCGAAGCCGTAACACCAACAGATTACGTTAACGATTTTTAATGTGGATTTGCACCATGCGGGGCTGTGGATTTTGGATTTCAGAATGTGGAGAGTCAGAGAGATGTGGTGTTTTGTTGGGGGCCACCATCCCTTGCCCATCGTCCTTCGCTCTTCGTGGCAAAAGTCCATGCATAGACTAGCAGAGTGTCCGAGATATAGCTGTCAATTTCGAGGATGGCTTTTGAAACAAAATAACGTCATCGTGGCTGGGGAACTAGGAACTAGAAACTACACAGGGAGAGGGAGAGACAGACAGACCCGCAGATGAGCTCCGATGAGTTGAATGACTGCGACAATGGCATCCTACGAATGACTCTGATGATGCAGCCAGTTGGCTGATTGGGTAAAATGAAGAACATAGAGAGGGTAACGCAGGGAAACGCAAGGGGAACACAGGGTGCGGTGTCATTTGGTGGGCTAAATACCGCAAATTGCGCTGCATGGCAGCAATTACAAAAAGTACTAATCATGGCGACATGTCTTTCAGCGAAATCAAGCCAAGCCACAGCCAACAGCAGACTTCAGCAGAACGCAGACTGGTCTCCGGGAATGTTGTCAAAATTTTTTAATTCTTTTTAAAGGGTATTTTCGAAATGGAGAGTATAGGGATTTTGGGGATAACAAAAAAATATAATAAATATTGTAATAATTTTTGACTGAAATCTTAAAAATTGAGAAGGGTTCCTTCTTCGAGAAACCAAAATTTGTATGAAAATCGATCATAAAGACAATTTATTTCCATTCAGAAAGCTTTTCTTTGGGCAATAACTGGCTTTTTGGCCATAGTATGCTTTCAAAAAGACCTAAAATATTAAACATTTTTTTAAATAAATATTTATCAATATTTTATACGAAAATTTTCTGAGTGCAGACTAAGAATATAGTACCTTGCAAATGTCTAATAACAGGACTATTGTTATTCTTTCTTCTTAAACATTTGCAAAATAATTCAAATTACATTTTCCGTTATATGAAAGGGTATCCCCAAAGTCTACCCTCCAACGTTATTGTTTTGATTTCACTCTATTCATAGCAATTTTCGCACATTTTTTTCTCGTTCTCGTTAACGTCTCGCTTGCCATTCGCCATTCGTCATTCGGATGCAATTATACACTTAGGAATTGACCACCAATGAGACGAGTATCGATTTGACGAATATGGATGCGAATGCCTTGTACCGCATTACGGTTGTGACGCGGGGCAAATTTGGCACATCGCTGCCGGCATCGATGCTGCTGCTCAACACCACGGACCAACACCGGAGCAGCGAAGGTGAGTTGGCTAACTAACTCCACTCCACATCATTCCCCCACTCCAAAATGAGTTGATTTAATTGTTGTGTGGTCTCTTTGTGTGTGCGTGTGTGTGTGTGTGCAGCGGGAGGAGAGGGCGTGACCTGGGGCGCACCATCGCCACCACATTCACTGACGGTGGTGGCACACAGTGCCACCTGGATGCAGCTCACCTGGCAGCCGCCTGAGTATGCCCATCCGCATGAGAGGATTACCTACAGGTGAGGAGTCTTTTAATAAAAAATAAATTTGTTTATAAATAATTTATAGAATTAGCAATTAAAGGAAAGCTCCAAGAAACCATATACAAAATGTATATTATTATTTTTCTAAAAGCATTCTGATAAATGCTGAAAATTAGAAAGATTTTTCCATATTTAATACTATGTAACTTTCTATCTAAATTAGTAAAATTCACAAAGTTCCATTTCTTCAGTAAAAAATATATAAAGAAGTCAGCCTTAAGCCCCAGGAATGAATTTATAATTTCCACAACCAATTGACAAGCCTCTTATCCCTTTTCCTAATTGCCCTACCTGGCTTTGCTTTTCCTTTTTTTTCTCATCCTGCAGAGTCTACCACAAGGCCATGAGGGCCGAGCATTTCATTAAGATTGAAACGAAGCTGGCCTGGCTGCGGATGAACAACCTGAAGCCGAGCTCACAGCATGTGCTCTACGTGGAGGCGGTGGGCGAAAGAGGCGACTCGTTGCCCTCCGAGACGCTGGTGGCCTGGACGGATCCCGCCCTGCCAGCCTTTGTAGATGTAAGTGTTCCTCCGGGCTGTGTGTGTGTGAGGTAACTCAACTCTTCGCTACTTGCAGCCCCCCACTGTGCATCCGGCGGACAATATACCGGAGGGCGGGTCCATGACCATTCTGTGTCTGGCCTTGGGCAACCCGGCGCCCACCATCTCACTTTACGTGGGCGGACACCTGGTGCGGCAGGATACCTCGCGGCACATGGTTACGGTCATTCACAATGTATCCGCGGATATGGAGCACGTCTCCTGCTACGCCGACAATGGCTATGGAGTACCCATGCAGGCCACCAGAAGGGTTAACATATGCTGTAAGTAATTGTGCCTCAGGGGGGGTATAATAATCCTGTAGCTTCTTTTAACAATTGCCCTTTAAATTCTGACACTTTGTATCCTTCAGATCCTCCCAAAATTCAAGCAGCTGGCATCACTGTGGCCTCCATAGGCGATGAGATTGAGCTGCGCTGCACTGTGGACTCTAAGCCGGCGCCCAAGACGATTTTCTGGCGAGAAAAGGATGGTCGAGTGCCCGTCATCAACGGTGGCAACTACTTTATATCCGTTAAGACCAACGAATCGCGTCCCTCGATCTATACCATGTCCTTGAGGATCAGCAAGCTGCAGGCCAACGATGTGGGTGACTATTTCTGCCATGCGGAGAATCCCTTTGGGGCCACCACCACACCGGTATCGGTGCGTATACGCAATACGCCGGCTCTGAATCACAATGTCTCCGAGTGTTGTGCGGAGCAGAATGTTACTATGGCCTGCAGGAGTGCCTGCAGCTACTATGTGGACTTTGATGCAATTGCCGATCGTCCCGAGTGCATTGTGGACTTTGATAAGCTTATGCGATGTGCTGCCGATGGATCCGATCATCGTTCCTGCTGTGCGGATGAGCATGTCCCTAGGAAATGCCTAAACTGGTGTCGGGGAGAATCTGTGCGCTCCAAGGAGATCTGCAGCCTGCAGTATGCCCGCACTATCGTGGGCTGCTTTGAGAAGAATAGAGATCGCCTGCCAGGACCGCCGGAGAATATAGTGGTCAGTGTGGTCTCCGACAGCGAGGTGTCCATAAGGTGAGTGTTCTTATATATTTATAACTAAGCGGAAAAGAGGAATGGAGGTTTAGGTTTATAAAGATTTATTAGTTACTTGTAGTATTTTATTAAATATTTCATTATTTTAAATTAGATATCTAAAATATTTAACAAAAAAATTAATGGTTGTAATAGCCATTCAGTTAGGTTTTTCATTAACCCAAAACAAGCTTTTACAAAGCCTATTAAGCTTGCTAATATTAAACATATTCAGTTACTTTCCTTGCTGATTATTTTTTTGAGTGTTTTGTCCCAAAAAAAACAAAGTTAAACCGAGCAGAAGCCATTTGGCTTTGAGCACCCCAAACCATGTGGAACACGTTTCAGCAGCCCCTCCGGGCTAAGCTCTTAAACACTTTTGTCCGAAGCGGAAGTGGACTCATCCATTTAGTGCACCAAACCCAATACATTCATTATCCTTCCAAGCGCCATATCCTCCCACACCGTGTGGGAGTGTGTGTGTGTGTGTGTGTGGGCCACTAATAGACCGCAAATCCATTAAAGCCGAGATTTTTATCTCACTTTAATACACTCGGTCAACGTCAAAGGTTGACGCAGGGGAAAGGATGTTCCGGATAAGGGGAAGTAGGAAACTGGAAAAACTGGGGAAAACTCGAAAGCGGGGATAGCGACCCCTTGAACCTGGTGCCGCATTAAATTTATTAAAATTCCAGACAAGTTGTGCGCCTGCAACAATATTACCAAGCACTCATAATGCGGCGCCGTCGCTCTATGAAAACTATTTCATTACAGATGGGATGCGCCGACAAAGAATCCAAATGCCGTTGACGGCTATAGAATATTTTACCACGAGGCCGCCGTTCTGCCGCCAACATCAACGAGTTCGGGTTCGGGTTCGCAGGACCATGCTGCCTCCATGGAAAACTCCGGAATGGATACCCTGGCCGCCATGAATAATGCAACAAGTATGGGTAGCGGTGGCGGCAGCAATGCGATGGCTGCTCTCGAGATACGACGCATCGACGTAAAGGACACAACAATAAGCATTAATGGCCTCAAGAAGGATGTGCTCTACGAGCTGGTGGTGAAGGCTGGCAATAGTTACGGTGAGTTGAGTTTACTGCCACTAGACTCCTAGAGTTCCCAAGTCCCTTCCCTTCGTATGGATTTTAATTTGCCGGCTTGTCTTGCAGGTGCCAGCGTGCTCACAGATCCGATTAGGTTCACGCTCGGCGAGCACCATGTGACCTCGGCCACCAGCAGCTATTCGAGCGCCGTGGGCACCATCAGCGGCATTGTGGCCAGCATCCTGGCCATCCTTTTGGCGGCAGCCGCCATTGTATTCTATCGCCGGCAGCGCTCTAGCTACGGAAAGTCGGCCAACGGCAATGTGGCATTCGAGAATCCCACCTATACCAGGGGCCTGGAACAGGTGCAGGTGTGTATAGCGATCGATTTTGGTCTTTATTTTGTTTGTTTTTGATGTTACAAGGGTGTAGCCACGCAGGATGGGGGTATGTCAAGTTTAGAGGGTTGAGAATTCAGGGGATTTTTAATAACAAAATAAAGGTTTTAAAATTAAGAAGAAGTTCTTGTCTTTTAAATTATAGATTATTCCTTTTTAAAAGGTCTTTGTTAAGAAATAAATAATATAATATATTGGTTTAATAATATAAACATTTAATCCTAGCGTTAGGCATGACCTTCAGTCATTTTAGGTGTGGCAAGATCTAGGAAAGACTCCAGTTATTTTATTAAAAATAATATTAAAATGTTTCAAAATAAATTTTCTATAAATTCTAACACATCATAAAATGTAGAACTACAATTTTAATACATATTTCATAACAAATTATTTTGATAAAACAATAAACATAAATCCAATATTTATTCTCCGATTTTATGTCCTTGCTTTTGAGTTCCCAAATCGATATTTCATAGTCGGTTTATCCGGACTTTTACTTATCCCACCTGTTTGTTTTTATTGCTCCTTTCGCTGTTGGCCAAAAGTTAGTTTAGTGATATGATAGCTATTTATCCTGTTGTGTGTATTAACGTAGGCGTAGGTGTATGTTATGTATTTACTTATTTTTTATGTTATAACTGTCAATGTGTGTTTTTTTCCATCCTTGCCAACCCCGCCCGTCCTGAAACTCTACAATAACAACACACGCGGTCTTGGGTATATGAATAACCATGCCATAGCTGCCTACTGTCACATCGGCCATAACAACGCAAAATGGCAGCAACAGCAGCAGCAGCAACAGCAACAACAGCGGGAGCAACAGTCACAGCCATGGTCGTAATGGCATTGCAGCCACAATGACGACATCCACGACGACAACGGCGCCGACAGCAGCGGCCACCTCGGCAGGTGTTGCTGCGGGGAAGCAGCATCATCAGCAGCAGCATCAGCAGCAACATAAGAGTGCCGCAGATGCGGCGCATCACTTTCATAACCCGCTCAGCAATACGCAGTGCAATGAAGTAAATCCCACAATTTATGAAGAGCTCAAACTTGGCCAAGAAGGTGCTGGATTTAAGAAACTTGTGCCATAAACGAAGCACACCAAACAATAACAATAACAACCACTGAGACGACAGTACACACACACAGGACAACAACAACAACAAGAACAACATGAACGAACAAAAACAAAAACCAAGTATAGCTAGCGAACTTATATATATACTATATATATTATATATATAGAAATATATACGCTAAATGTAGACATAGGCCGTGTAAACAGCGCGAAGCGCAACCTCAAACAACTACACTTACACAGAGACACAAACACACACACAAACACACCACACACACACACACAAAGCACAGACAACACACACACACTCACAGCGTGTCCTGTGACATCTTTACAGAATGCATTGCGAGAAATTACTCGTACTCGTTGGGTAACACTCACACAAAACACACGAAAACACACACAATTTTTGCTTGCAAAAATCTTTTGGGTAGCGTGTAATAATAAATAAATTTTTAGTATGTAACTGTGATTCAACCAGACAAAACAAAAATTAAAATAACAATACGAAAACGATGTAAAATAATTAAACTAATTGGTAATGAACGTAAGCTATAAAAACTAAAAACAAAAATGAAAAAACTGAAAACTGATTGAGAAAAAAAATACCAATGATTAGTAAAAATCTATATATGCTAAATGTGTTTTCATCTTGGCTTTTGTTGGGGCTATAATACGCTTGAAAGTGGTTTTTAAGTAGAGATATTATTTGATATCATTTACTTTTTAAATATTTCAATTTTAGGATTTTAGTTTGGTATAATTTTAGAGGTAACTTTGATCGAAATGCAAGAGATAAAAACAATTTAAAGAAATGAATTAGAATTAGAACGAATAGAAATACAAGCATTTTATTAAATATTTTTTATTAATATTTCTTTATTACTAAATTATATTTTTTAATATATACACATTTCTTATCCTTTTTTAAATATAGTTAAAATTTTTCCAAGTGCTCTTCTTCAAACCACAATTGTATGTTACTTTGCTCAGCATTCATTTGAACCTGGTCTTTGTTGTATATGTTGGCTTGCCTGCTTTCTCCCGGTGTATGTAAACAACGGTTGAGTACAATATTAAAAGATGCCAGTGTGCAACCTTCGTCCTTGGTCCTTGCACCCTTCATCCCCCCATGTTTACGCCTTTCTCGGTTGCTTCTCATTTTGATGAGGACGAAGATGGAAGCTCTCGGCTCGCCTCATGCCGTCAGATGTTTGTTCGTGTAATGTTGCATACGTTATAGCGACTAGCACACACACACACACGAGCTCCATGGTCTGGTACCTCTTCAAACACACACAGACACTCTCATACACTGGCATTATTAGCAAAAGGACGCATCCGATGAAGGAGAAAACAGCCAGCGAGCGATATATGCTGCGCACAAAGTTTAACTTTCATATGTAAATTCCTTTTTATTACGAGTACAATATCCGAAAGAGATAGATACGAGTGTGGATGGAGGAGTTTTGCTGCCGCTCGACATGATACACTCATAATCCGTTATGATCTGATACTGATACGGATGATGCCATCATAGTGACAGCCTGCGCCACCAGAGATTATTATAATTTAGTTACCAGCGCACCGAGTGCGGCGGCCCCTACGACGACACTTGTGCGCCATTCTCTTTTTTTTTTATGCAAAATAAGCAAAAAGTGAAGAAAAAATAAGCAAAGCGGAAAGTAAAATCTAGCAGATTTCTCGTATGATTGAAGCAAGGCGTGTAAACAGCGATAGAGTAAACTTCATAAATGTCAAACAACGGAAAGGCTTAAAATGCCTGTGCATAATGGTACATAAGCTGTCGCCAATCCAAGCAGAGGTTACACTGAGGGAAAAATTGATCTATAGGATTTTTAAAAAATTTAAATAGAAATTTATTAAACTAGATTTTCTAAGTCCTATGATCTAAATCATTTAAATACCTCTCATATAATTTTTAAACAAACTTGATTCTTCTTAGGGATTTATATATCATTTGGAAAATATCGTGGACTTTGATATATTTTATTTATAAATATCTAAAATTATTGAAATTAAATTTAAAATATTAATACTTTTTAACAGAAGTCAAGCCAAGTCGATATCGATACCGATATTTCTGTTCAGGAGAGATAATTCTTACCTAGGTTTATATGAATTAATATTTTTACCAATTCTTATATTATTCTCAATTGGAAATACACATTTTCCCCCCGAGTGTAGCCATCATTCTCCTTTCAAATTCCACTTTAATAAGTTAGCAGGAACCGAGAGTTCGGTGGAGCTCATCAAAATGTTGCTGCTGTTGCTGCTCTTGAGCAACTTCCGTTTTTTGATCTGACGATGGTTTGCTGAGAAAGCTGCCAGTGTGCAATGGCTCTGAATAAACGCCGCCTGAATTATGCAACACGTTTAAGTGCCTGCATTCTTTGTGCCCAAACACAAACACACACACACACATGTGCATCTTTTGTGCCTTTTCTGTTTACTCTTCTTGGGTTACCTGGGATGCTGCTGCTGCTGCACCTGCACCTGCACTCGCTGCCGATGCTGATAAAAATGTTGACAGTCGCCAGATAAAACCGAAAATTTACAAGTAAATGATATTGTCTGCTGGCAAACCAGCTGCCCACTTTGTGGCTGATTGCACTCCAGTCTTGGTCTGGCGATGTCCTTGTCTAAACAGAGGAACATCTGTGCTTACCTGCTGCTCGCACCTGTGCTGCTCATAATGAGTTTTTCGCTGCTTTGCAACTTTTCCGTTATGCATAAATTATAAAAATACATTGATGAATATAGTGGCTACCGGGAGAAAGTTTTGTGCATCATGTCGCGGAAAGGATATTAAGTAGGGGACAACAAGCTTAGGGAGGATTTTGATTAGGGAATTTGAATAATGGATGGTTAGGTATATAGTAGAAAAGATTAGAAGAAATTAAAGGGAAAGGATAAAGCTATTTTATATTATATTTTATAAATCAGTTAAAGGTAGATTATTCTTAGAACAAACTATCAGATAAATTTCTTAAAACCTCTTGTAATTTTCTTAAAGTTAAAATAATTATTTTAATATTCTTTTGAAGAAGAATTTTTCATAATTTTTTTAACTTTTCAGGATCAATAAGCTATAAACTGAATAGAGATTTTCCTTACGTATATTGGTGTTCATATTTTCACATTCATTCATCTCATCAATTGTTCATTCGCTGCTACTTCACATACGCTCTCCATATTGGTTGTCAGGCAATAACTTCAAACAGATATGACATAATAGATTTAGATAGAAAAAAAGCTATTTTAAAATTTAGATCCATTCGAGAATCACAAATGAAATGAAAGCAATGCCCATGGATGGGGACATAAAAGCCAATTTCACAGTATGCCAAGTGATTTATTGAGACAGAGCGTTCACCTCCCCGGCTCTACCATTCTCCCTTCCCATCTGATGCTATGTAGAGCGGCTGCTTTTATTTATCGCTAAACTAATAAATCTTGGCATAAAAATGGAAAATATTGTATACGCCATGTTGTGCCGAGTCCCCTGAATGGCCGGGCTAGAAAAAAGACCCAAATAGAGGCCATAGTCAAGGCAAAAACTCATAAGTGGCAGCGGTTTAAGCACCACAAAAAAACTTACGCACATATAAATTTCATATATTATATAATGGTTTAATGATATTATTTGTTTATTTTTTTGTGCTTCCGGCTTCCAAACAATTAACCACTAACGAACTGCCAACTACGCAATATGCTAAAAATAAAAAAAATAAAACCAAAACCAAAACGAAAACAATAATAATCATGAAAAATGCACAGACACGCTGCGTGTCAAAGTACAATGGGTGAGTGGCTGTTATTAATTTTTTAATGTCCTTGTCCTACAAAATTTTATTAGGGGATTGCTTCCTTCTTGTTTTCTTTTTTTTCGGCCGTTTCCTTTACGATTATTACGTGCTGTTTGGCCAGTTGAAATTATATTTAATGAATTTTTACAGCTTCCCGAGCCAATCACAAATCACTTTTCTTACACTTATATTTTGCATATTTTGTTGCCTACTTATCGGGGTCGTGTGCCTTGTGCCTTGCGAAGGCCTTCGAGTTTTAATTGCCGCCGCGTGGACAGGCAGGTTGTCGCCTTCGTCCGGCCGCAGAACCTGGAGCAGCACAAAATTTGGGTTTAATGGCAATTGCGTGAGTTAATCGCATTAGAGCAGAAATGCAGAGCAGAACAGTTAAAGAGCAGATCGCACACGTAAGTAAACTGCTCTAAAATAATATTTATATTTATAATTATGTTTATATTTTTATGTCTGCCCGTTTGTTTGGCAGTTTTTTTTCCGCGTACCCGCGGACACACATTATTGTACTTGTAATAACAATTAACAATTAACTTTTTATGGGGTCATGCATGTTGTTGGACATATAATAAATGTTTGTTTATTCCTCCTATCGATTGGTGTTTTTTTTTTCTTTTTTTGCTTGCTAATTATATAATTTACAGACACTGGCATATGGCTCCCGTTAATATCCCTGTAAATATGAGGCATTAATGTAAATAAATGTGCCAGTCGGTGGGTGGCCAGCGACTTAAATCAGTCGTAAGGCTCAGGCAAACATACAGACACATTCGTATTAATGTGTAAATCGATGGGCGGTAAGTATGCTGCATCAACATTCAATACATTCTTGTTGATTTTATTGCCATCGCTCCAGTAATTCTCCAGTAAACCTCCTCCTCCCTGCTGGTATGCCCCCCCCTCTGTGGCCTTATGTTAATTGAGCCTGATTGACCCAGGCATATTGAGCATCTGATGGAAGCGATTATCCATTCGATAGGTTTTCTGTAATAAAAGGGGGAATTTTCCGAGAATTTAATACACATTTCTGTGGATAACAATCGCTTTTAGACTGCTTACGGAATTTATATTTGCTGCATAACATTTATGGAAATAAAATGAGAAATTTACAAGCAGGCAAAAGGATTATTCGAAGCAATCTTACAAATTTTTAATAAATAAAACAGCATTAAACATCTCATTTCAATAATTACCCATTTTCTGCTTGCAGGAATTTAATATCTGCATAATACTCATCTTAATATCCACCTAAGCTTACCCCCAAAAACACAAAAGAATTTGTATAAAATGTATCCCACAAATTAACAGCTGCCAAAGAAATTCCTTAATTTAATGAAGACATTTTGGCACACCATCCGAGCAAAACAGATGCCTGAACCGAGGCATTTATGCTTAACCACCTAATGAAAGACATCTGGCCGGTGACCGCAAATGGCCAGAGAGCCCAAGATGGCCAAGATGCATTAACTAAAGATGTGCCAGGCCAAGTACTATATCCAAGTGGAGGCCACGCGGCGTATGCGTAATGTTCCATTCAACAGTCAGCCAAGAACATCTGCCTTTTACCCTTTTTGGCAGTGCGATGTGTCAAAAGACAGCACAAGAACCGCAGGTGCGGTGTTTTTCCCCTGCCTCCCTGCCTTCCGGTTTTTGTGTATGTTTGTGTCTGTTCTTTTTTTTTTCTTTTTTGGAGGGGGTTCTTCAACCCCTTTTGCATACTGTAGCAGGACGAGTAACAACATGCATACGGGGCAA